ATATATATCAAAAGCAGAAGTACACTGCATTTAATACAGTCCACATCATCAAAGTTAATGTCACAGCCTATTAGCAGTACTCAGTACTCAGAGAGCTACTGACTGACCACCAGAATATCTAGACTTAGACTTCTTGCCAGCAGAAGCATGTCCTTCTAGGTTATACAGGTCAGTATGAATAAGCTTAAATTATGTCTAAACCCTGTCTGTATAAGAACCTGGCAAATATTTACCTGTTATCACAGGGAAACACCAGTTTATCTTGTCCTTCACTTTGTTGCAACATGTGAAAAACTAAGGTAAGAAAATAACCACAATTTTTTCATGAGCAAATTAGTAAGACATGTAGTCTAAGTCTAAAAAACGAAGAAGCCAAGTCAATGAAACATCTGTAAGAAAAACTGGAGGTGTTTGAAAAGAACTTGAAATGTGAAGCCATCCAAATCATTGTTAAGCAAGAGATTTTTCAACATTTTGTGTTGCTTTGTTTTGTTTTTTTGTTTTTTGGGGGGTTTTTGTGGAACCAGGGATTAAACTCTGGCCCTTGCGCTTACCAGGCAAGCGCTTATTCTACTGAGCTATCTCACTGGCCCCAACATTTGTATTGTTATAGTACTCTTTTGACATACTGGTCTCATTTTTTTGTTTGTTTTTTTTTTTTCTCCCATAATTTTATTGATAAACAAATAGCAATGAGACAGTTTCAAATCAAATTGGTAGGACAGTTTCAATAATTAACACATTGCATACTGGTCTCGTTTTTGAAGACACTTTTTCCTAATAGCTAAAAATTTGTTATTTTATATCAAGTTAAAGTGATTGAAGAAATTTGTATCTAACAATATGATGCTAATTAACAAAGAAACATGAATTTTTTTTTCACTGCAGAGTATGACAGTGTGGCTGAGAAAGCTGGTAAAGTAGAAGCTGAGGTTAAACGATTACACAATATCATTCTGGAAATCAATAACCATAAACTCAAGGCCCAACAAGACAAACTTGATAAAATCAATAAGCAACTAGACGAATGTGCTTCTGCTATTACTAAAGCCCAAGTAGCAATCAAGACTGCTGACAGGTAAAATAGCCATACTTCCCTAACCAGTCTTCCCTTCCCCACATTGGAAAGGGAATTAATATTTAAATTTAATGTTCCATTAAGTGTTTATTTTACTGTTACTTACTAAACCCATCTGACATGTTATTACTGAACAGGACTTTAGTTAGGGCAAACTTATAGTAATTATTTATCATAGCCAGTTTTTTTCAAAAAGCGGTAAACAGGTAAGCCTTGGCAGAGTAAAGTTATGTAACCCCAGTTTTGAATACATAGATATCAGAGTTTTGTCTGGATTAGAGCGGTCTGTGTAATTTTAAAAGCTCTAGTACTTAAAAGGTAGATTTAAGAATAGAATCTCTTAGTAAAATTGGTTAACTTTTTTGTGTGTAGTCTCACACATGCCTCATGCATGTGAAGCAGGAGCTCTGCCACTACATTTCAGTCTCTCTAAATTTTAATTAGCTAGAAGATACTATTATTCCATCTCACCAAAAAAATATCCATTTATCCCGCTTTTTTATAGTATTTATAATCAAAGCTATGTATGTAAAACACAGAAAACAACTGTTTTGTTCAGTTATTACCTAGTTCTAGTGCTCTTTGCACAGATAATGAATAAGCCATTTGCTTTTATTAAAGTAGAAGTATGCTTTAAAAATCTCTTAATCTAATGAGAAATGACAAAACAATTTAATAATTTAATGGATAATTTCACATCCAAATAAACTTTAAACCTTATAAAACTATTTCATTGATTTATAGTGAGTTTAAGAACAACTCATCTCACAAGTATTTGTATAATATAAAACCAAAGATATTTTAGAAATCTTAAAGAATCTATAATAATGAAAAAAAAACTCACATTATCATGAAAAGTTCGTTGGTAGATTTCCAAAACAGTCTCACATCATTACATTTTTAATGTCCTTTTGCTTTAGAAATCTTAAAAAAGCACAAGACTCTGTGTTTCGTACCGAGAAAGAAATAAAGGACACTGAGAAGGAAGTAAATGACTTAACAGCAGAACTAAAAAGTCTTGAGGACAAAGCAGCAGACATCATAAACAATACAAATGCTGCAAAGGTAATATTTCATGTTAAAAGGGAAAAGGTGATATTTAAGCAATTTCTGAGTTGAATATGCCACCTTAGTGCTTCAATAACCTGGTTTTAACTTCTGTAAACTTTTATCTGTACAAGATTTTTTTTTGTTATTTATTTAAAATGGAAAGGATGTGGGGAAAGATTGTTGACTTCCCCTTTCTAAAGTGAAAATGCCTATTCTGTGGGGGAAGATCATATTTCTCTGTTCTTCTTGGTTTTTAGAAGTCTTTACCAGAGATCCAGAAGGAACATCGAAATCTGCTTCAAGAACTAAAAGTTATTCAAGATAATGAACATGCCCTGCAAAAAGATGCACTTAGTATTAAGTTGAAACTTGAACAAATAGATAGTCACATTGCTGAACATAATTCTAAAATCAAATATTGGCGAAAAGAGGTGAGACTGCTATCATTTAATTAAATTTAGGGGGCCGGGGAGATAGCTCAGTAAAATAAATGCTTGCCTGGCAGGCTTAGGGTCTTGAGTTTAACCCCTGATACCGCAAAAAAAAAAAAAAAATACATTTAGCTTTATACCTGTGTCTTTTATGAAAAGGGTGTGGGAGGTTTTTGTCTACGTGTTTGCTTCTTAATTCCATGCATGATGCAGTATATTGTAATCTCATCACAGTGGTATAATGAACAATAAATAATTTTATACAGAAAAATCTTGAGTAATGGTTACAATTGTGCAGCTGCCTTTTCACCACAGAGCTGATCTGGAAGTTTAATAAAAAATTACATGAACACTTCTTATGGAACAACTATGTCTGTTGAAAGCTTTTGAGAAGAGTTGTCAAAATTTCTGTTGTTTTCATAACTGTGATTTTTGTTTCATGCTTTTTAAAAAAGAATAAATTTTATTGTGCCTTTTCTAGATTTCAAAAATAACACTTCATCCTATAGAAGATAATCCTGTTGAAGAGGTTTCTGTTCTAAGCCCAGAGGATCTTGAAACAATCAAGAGTCCAGATTCTATAACAAACCAAATTGCACTTTTGGAAGCCCAGTGTCATGAAATGAAACCAAACCTTGGTGCCATTGCAGAGTATAAAAAGAAAGTATGAATGAATTGTTTCACACATTTTTAGTTCTTAGCTCAGATTATGACCTTTATTTTTATATTATAATGAACAGTATTTTTATCTCATTTTTATCTGAAGAGGTTTCTCTCAATCTTTTCACAGGAAGAATTATATTTGCAGCGTGTTGCAGAATTGGATAAAATTACTTCTGAAAGAGATAATTTTAGACAGGCATATGAAGATCTTCGAAAACAAAGACTTAATGAATTCATGGCAGGTTTTTATATAATAACAAATAAATTAAAGGAAAATTACCAAATGCTCACTTTGGGAGGAGATGCTGAGCTGGAGCTGGTAGACAGCTTGGACCCTTTCTCTGAAGGAATTATGTTTAGGTCTGTATAGAACTTGGAATACTAATTTTTACCTATTCAAACTCTTTATTTCCTGATAAATGTAAAGCTGGGGCTGGAGACTATAGTTAGTGGCAGCAATTCCTGCCTTGCAAGCCTGAGTTCCTGCCTTTCAATCCAGTCATTTCCCCCAAAAAAGAAGTGAGATGTGAAAGTAAGATATACAACTTGTTTTATTTGATGATAAATACTAATTTGTTTATATTGGAAGTTTACAATATAAATTATGTACATTTAATCTTTACAACCTGATTTATAAATTTTCAGGGATTTTTTTTGGCGGGGGAGTTTCTCATTTTGTGTTTTTTGAGACAGCTTTCTGTGCAGTTCAGGCAGGCCTTGAGTTCCCTTTGTAACCCAGGTTGGTCTATAGCTTGCAGTAATCCTGCCTCAGCCTCCCAAATGCTGGGATTACAGGTGTGTGCTAACCATACCTGACCTGGTCTTCTTAATCGAATGTCAGGATTTTTAAAAAATTTATTAGACAAAAGAGTAGTAAAAAGTACTTAATCTGCTATTGAAATCTTAAAATTTTGGGCTGAGGAGATAGCTCAGCAATCTAAGTGCGTCCCTGGCAAGCACAAGGTCCCAAGTTTGATCCCTGGTACCATATGCCATGCTGGTCCCGAAACCAGGCATGGTGGTACATTCCCATAATCCCAGCGTTGGGGAGGCTAAGACAGGAGGATCACCATAAATCTGAGCTGTGGTACTGAGACCCTGTACCAAGTAAATAAAAGATTTTTTTAAAAACTTCACAAGAAGCTGGGGAGATAGCTCACTGGTTTAAGTTCCTGCCTGCCAAATACAAGGTCCTGAGTTTGACCCCCAGTACCAATAAATAAATACATACATACTTCACATTAAAAAAAAAAAAAAAAAAAAACTTAAAAAGTTTGGATAGCCAGTCCTGTGTGTTCATCTTCTAGTAACGTTTGTAAAATAACCTGGAAAAAGTTTGTATTTGTGAAAAAAGGCAAGTTAGGTTTCCAAGGAGGAAGTTAGTAGAAAAAAAAATCACGACTTCCTCTACCCCCTTCTAGTAATGATTAAACTCAGGGCCTCAGGCTGGTGAAGCAGATACTGTCCTACTAAGCACAGGCCCTTTTTGGAATTTAATTTTGAGGCAAGGTTGTGATTGTTACCCAGGCCAACCTTCTCAGTCTATAAAGTCTTAAATTTAGCTTTACTAACAATGTGACTAAGATTTTTATATAATTATTACAGTGTTAGACCACCTAAAAAAAGTTGGAAGAAAATCTTCAACCTTTCAGGAGGAGAAAAAACACTTAGTTCACTGGCATTGGTATTTGCTCTTCACCACTACAAACCAACTCCTCTTTACTTCATGGATGAGATTGATGCAGCCCTTGATTTTAAAAATGTGTCCATTGTTGCATTTTATATCTATGTAAGTAATCATGCAGTAGGTGGGCTTTTTTTATTCTAGAAATTTTATGGTTTACCTAAACATTATATGTGGAATTCTTTGAGATTTGCTTTTTCACTATCAAGCTTTTTTCTCTGTTCTCTTAACTCCATCTTCTACTATCCAGAAACAAAATCCTTGTTTGTAACAAGTATTTTCATTTTGGATTAATAAAAGATAAATTGCTAATTCAAATTAATACCAGCTACATAGAATCCCAGGTCTCCTTCCTAGGTGTCTTCCACTAGATTTGTAGGCAGTAATACTTGAAAAAAAAACCAGATTTCTCTTAAATATGTTTTAGCTGTACTATCATTCTTGTATATGTTAATTACCCAAGTAGTATTAAATTTACTGCCCAAGAAAGATGAGGGAACTAAGCTTACCTGTTTATGTGATTTACTTGTTACTTAATATCTTTTTTTTTTCTTTCTTTAGGAACAAACAAAAAATGCCCAGTTCATAATAATTTCCCTTCGAAATAATATGTTTGAGATTTCTGATAGACTTATTGGAATTTACAAGACATACAATATTACAAAGAGTGTTGCAGTAAACCCAAAAGAAATTGCATCTAAAGGACTTCGTTGAATTTTATACTGAAGATTCAAGTTAAATTGGCATAGATTTTGTATATTGCTGGTTATCTAAGAATTGTGACCTGTACAAAATACATACTCTAAATGATGATAAAAGTGTTTTATGTTAAGAATCATGTTACAGGGCCCAGGGAGATGGCTCAGTAGAATAAGCTCTTGCCTGGCAAGTGCAACATCCTGAGTTCAATCCCTGGTACTGCAAAAAAAAAAAAAAAAAAAAAAAATTCATGCTACAATGTTCTCTGAGGCAATAGGATTGTGGGTTCAGCCACGGCTGGGCAATTTTATAATTTAGCAAGATAACTGTCTTAAAGGGGGGAACTAAAAGTCTCACTATGAAGGCCCTGGAGTTTATTCCTCAGTGGGTAGCCCCCAGTTTTGTGGTTTTGGGTTTTGTTGTGTTTTGTTTCTTTCTTGTATACCTGTTAATAGGAGATAGTAAAAATGAAAGGGGGCTTTTGAAACGGTTTCATTTCATTGTGTATTTCAGGCTCACATTCACTAGATAGCCAAAGCAGCCCCCAAATTTGTGGTGATCTTCCTGCCTCAGACTCTGAAAGTTACGGAATTACAGTTTTATGCTACCATACCTGGCAGGATGTGTTTCCTAAGTGACAGACGATTAAGAAAAATCAGATTCCTGTAGTGTCAGATGACTTGCTCTTTGTTCCAGAGGAGGGGTTAAGTTTGTTGAGATAAAGTTCCAAAACTAAAACTTGTCAAGGCTCAACATGCCTTCCTTTACTGGATATTCGAGCTACACTGGAAAAACCTGCTAAACTCATCTTGGATAAATTTTTAAAGCAGTCCAACTGACTTTGACAATCATATTACCCAAATAATGGGAACCTTATTTTGTAAACAGCTATTCTTATAACGATTTAGTAGGTACTTAAAAACTTGATGTGCTTTGACTATTTCAAATTTGTTGCAAACGAATGTAAAAATGTTTGAACGTGATTATGCTATATTCTAACCTCACACGAATGAATATAGTAATAAGCGGAATTTAGGATACTGTGAATATTACTTGACAGCCAGGTTGTCAAGATTTTTTATTTGGCTCAATATGATGCTACTGAAAGTAAGTCAACAACCACTTGACTGAATCAAACATCTTTGCCTTAGCTATTTAATTTCTGGATATTTATCCTCAGGGTTTAAAATGAATTGTCTCATTATTCAGAAAACTATTATTTAGGGATCAAAAACCTGACGTTTTGTATCATAGTGAAGGCATTAGAATGTCAACACAAAAGTAGAGCGAACTTAAAGCAAGTTGCAAAACTCAGGTACAGAGGGGAAAATAGAAAATGCTATATATTAGTGCTATTTTAATTCCTAACTGTAAATTCTACAGATTAGAAGCCCTAGTTTAATAATGTTGGTTGGCCTTGTATTCTTTGAACATTAACTGAAAAAAGTGGGCCAGTTCTCCCAGCTATGTTGCTTTGTATTATTAAGTACAGGATTAAGTGCAAGACACATAATAGTTTTAATTTTATTGCTTATATTCAAAACCATAGGAGACTTTTACTGTGCAACTAAACCTTAATTATAATGCAACTTCAGTCTCAAGTTAGTATGTAGAGTTCTGTCCTAGGTCTTCCCTCCTCCATTTATACTGGTTGACTGCACAGTTATTGTGTTAGTGTAGTCTGATTCCAGTCATAAAATGTGTTAAGGCTTCAAACAAGACCTTTGGATTATTTTAAACTAGTTTATAAACATTCAGGAGAACTTTGTGTAAATTAAAAAGCCAGTACTCCCTCATCTGACCTGGGAAACTATTGAAGGTAAGTCTTTTAGAAATCCGAAAGCAGCTCATCTGGGATCTCTGCTTTGTTTTGTTTTGTTTTTGTTTGGTTTTTTGGGGGGTTTTTTGCAGAACCGGGGATTGAACTCAGACCCTTGCGCTTGCCAGGGAAGTGCTTATGCTATGGAGCCATCTCTCCAGCCCCCCTGATCCAGGAATTTCTGGACAGCAAATCTGTTTATGCTTAAGATGTGACAGCTGATGAGCCAAAAGTGTGTTGTAGGCACTACAATGCCAATTCCTGCAGAGAAGATTATATTGAGCTCTGACTAAACAGACTCTCAAAACAGTTTAAGAATATAAAACTTACACTGTACTTTTGCACGAGCGTAAGAAACATTTTGCAGAAAAACTTAGGACAGTTTTAAAATGAATAGTTTTACATGATGCCATGAAAATCTGTTAAGACTGAAATATGTCACCAACATCATTCAAGCAAAATGGTTTTTTACAGCTTTTATCTAGGAATTAAAACTACGCTACAAAATACAAACCTTTTGAGGAATGCTGGAAATAGACATGCTCGGCAATAAAGGCTCTACCACTAAACCTGAGCTGTACCTACAGCCTTCGTTTATATTTTTTGTTGTTGCCCAGGCTGACCTTGAACTCCAGGACTCAAGTATGCACCACCACAGTCAGTTCTCAAGTACAATCTTAAATTTATGAAAACATAAGTATTAGAAATTGTCAGGATTATCCAAACTCAATAGCTTTTTTAGTTGGTTGGGCTTTTAGGGACCAGGAATCAAACTCGGGACCTTGCACTTGCCAGGCAGGTGCTTGTGCCACTTTGTTACATTCCCAGCACCTATTTCACTCTGAAACGGTCTCACTATGTAGCTCAGACTGGCCTTGAACTAGCAATCCTGCCTCAGCCTCCCAAATGCTGAAATTGCAGGGATGGATCACCACCCCGTGGAATGAATGTTCACGAACATAGCTTAGTGGATTAAAGTATCTGCTTCAGCAGCCAGGGTTCAATCCCAGGCCTGCCGTGCTGGCCCCACCTCTGGGGCATGCTGAGTGACAGACTGGGCATGGTGGCATGCACCTGTAATCCCAGCTCTTATGGAGGCTGAACACAGACAGGAGAATCACAAGTCTGATCTACATATGAGACCCTGTAGACCCTTAATAAAATACAAACTAAAATTCTTAAGTCCATCCAAAACATTAAATGGGACTGAGATAGCTCTGCAATCTAAAGGGCGTGCTTCGCCAGGTGCAGTGATTGCAATCCCAGGAACCACATGCTGTGTCAGCCCTGCCCCCAGGGTACACTGAGCTGGGCACACACACACACAAAAAAACATTAAATGTATTAAGTAGTTACATTTGACCAAAAAGATCTTTAGTCCTTTAGCACTTTAAAAATTTTCAAGATTGCTTCGTTTTTTTAAGCCTCTGCCATCCTTATGTATTCCAAAGCCTCAAGCCATATCACAATAAAGACATACACTTAAAGCATTTTCCATGTTTTATTTTAAAACAATAGATACATGAATAACCACTGATATAACAGTAAAAGACAAGAGCATAAAATGTTGTTGGGATATTAATAAACCAATTACTAATGATTCTCAATATCTAATGATTTAAGTCTTATTCTTATTAGTGGATTTACTATCTAACAGAAGCATGAGAGGTCTGACATTTCTGAGTTTACTGGAACTCTACCGAAGTTTAGTTTTACTACTTATGCTACTTCCTGTTTCTCCAGTTAACAAAAAACTGCTGTACAGAATAAGCCCATTTAATAATTCATGTTTTCAAGGTGAAACTATTTTCCACATGAATTCCTTTAACAAATACAAAGTGTGACATAGTATGGTTTTTAAATCATGCAAGTTGTGAGACAGGCTTTGGTAAACAGACAAAGAGACTTCAGAAAAACATACTGAAGACACTTCATTTAAGAAAGTTACTACATACTGGTAGAAAAAGAGTGCCAACATTAATAACACTGAAATGCTTAAAATTTGAAAAAATTCGACTTTTTTATCTTTACTGGGCAAGGAAGGTGCCCTTATTGAAGAAATTTTCATTTCAGGAATGAAAACTTTCTTAATTTCTCCAATTTCTGTTCTGCTCCATTCTTCTAATACTTGGCTTACATGAGGATAAATTTCAACAGGCTGGACCTCAGGAAGTGGTCTTTGTTCCAATATCTGCACACGGTGGCAGATGTTATCAATTTTTTCAAGAAATTTAAGTGGAGACTCTTCTTGTAAAGATGTTGTCAGTGTCATTAATTCAAGTTGCTGCTCTCGTAATTCTTTCATTCTTTCAATATGTGGGGTATATTCTTGACTTACCAGATTACCAACATCACAGAGAGCTGTTAAAAAAATTTTTTTTTGTTTTTCTAAGGTATCAGTAAGCTCTTCAAAATACTGGAGAACAACTTCTTTATCACGCTGGATCATTTCCTGAGAATGAGACTTTTGTTCTTCTAGTTTGTCAATAAGATGAGTAATGTCTGTCCAATGTGTGCTAGTTAACTGTTTCAGCAGTTTCTGAGGGGTGTCCTTTCGTTTCAGATAGGCACTTTGAAGGTCATCTATAGGATGACCATGATGTTGACCTACGGTAAGGCAGTGACCACAAACTAATTTTTTATCTAGTAAACAATAAACATTTAGTGGTTGCCTATAATGTTCAGGGCAGAAAACAACATCCGGATGGTCGTCTTGCTGGTACTTTTCAATAATAGCCCTTAATGCAAAATTAACAGGTAAAGATTCAATACCAGTTGGAGCAATTTCAATAATACTTCTGCAATTAGGGCACTTGAGTGGAATTCTTAAAGGTCTCCATATATAAAAATTACCAGATGTCTGAAGAATGTTTTCCAAACAACTTTTACAAAATGTGTGAGAGCATGGTAGTATGCGAGGATCTTCAAAAATACTGTAACAAATGGGACACATTAACTCATCCTCAAAATTGTGCATTTCCTATGAAGAAAAAAAGCAAAGTCTACATGTTACCAAGTATCTGCACATACTTTGTAAAGTCTTAGTCATTAACCTCCAAACTGCTGATATACTGATTATCACTTAAAAGGCCTATTTACTAAGATTTAAAAAATGAAACTTTCTTTATAATTCAATTTCTAATACAGGAAATAGATTATCTTCAAGAGCTTATTCATAGATAAAATATTTTTAATTTGTTTCTATGTAATGACTAAAACTCAAGTGACTGAAGTCTTAATTACTATATGGAATTTTGTATATTGTAATATGTTAAAAATCACATGGGGGGCCAGAGAGATGGCTCAGTGAAATAAGTGCTTCCCTGGCAAGTGCAAGGGCAAGTTCAATCCCCGGTTCCGCCAAAAAAAAAAAAAAATTGAATGAACAGGCAAGACGAAACATTTCTATTACTAAGTATTACAAATTAGGCTTATTCTTTACTGCAAAAAGAAACATGCTCCCAGTTGGAACAATCACAAAAGGAAGTATATGTTTTTGTACAAACTAACTATAAATTTCCTAGCTGCCTGAATCCAGATGAGCTTAAAGACCAGAATCAGCATAAGGTAATTTTTTGGCAGTAGGTGTGTTGGTTACAATTCAAGGCCTCACACGTGCTAAGCAAGCACTTTATGGGAGCTACATTCCCAGCCCTATGGTGTAGTTTTCTAAACAGTACATTTAGCATGAAAATTTGAAAGGAAAACTTTCAAAACCTTGGCAGTAAACGTCTGAAAGATGAACCGATTATGGCACTTTTGAAGTACTGACTTAATTTTTAAATGAAAAACTAGAGTTGTGATGGTAAAGAACTAAAGGCGGACATATACTATTAGTCCATCTTTCATTAAGATACATCCTAAGACAAATGTTTCCCAAGACAGAAACCTCAATAGTTCAGTCTCACCATAATAAAAGTCACATCTCTGCAATCTACTATGAGTATTTCCAAAAGTCTGACAGTTTTGCACCCTAACATCTCTTAAATTTTGTCTGTGCATATATTGCATGAAAGCTACAATTGTCAGGACTGACTCCTTGACAGAAAAGCCAAGTTAAACCACTGCTATGAGAACCTTAAACTAAAAATGTAAGATTCAGGTGCCATTCATGTAAAATACAAAGTTACCAAGTCTTCTAAAACCTTTCAAGCCAGGTGTGATACTACTGTAATTCCAGCACTGGGAGGCTAAGGCAGGAGTTTGAAGCTACATAAGGGAGTTTAAGGCCAGCCTCAACTACATAGCAAGACGTTGCCTCAATTTTTTTTTTTTTTTTTTTTTCTGTAGTATTGGGGATTGAACTCAGGACCCTGTGCTTGCCAGGCAGGTGCTTATTCTACTGAGCTATCTCCCCAGCCCCTCAAATTTTTTTTTTTTTTAACTAATGGAAATTTTAAAAATTTAAGTTTGCGAAAGTAACATCCAAAAATAACTGCATTTTTAATAAGCAAAATCTTAGACTTAGCTTTATCTTAAGCAACTGCCGAACTATTAAATCCTTCAAGTCATAAACCTGGCCTCTTTCATAGTCATTTTGTTACTCTCACTTTTACTTTGTAACACTGAACAGTACTTGCTTTTATAACGTTCTTGTAACACTGTGTAAATATTACAATGTAAGCTTCCTTTAAGGGCAAGAAATATGTCTGAGATATTTCTATAGTTTCAGCCCAGAACTTAAAACACAGTAGGCATTAAGACCTACTGCTGAATGAAAAGCTGCCTCGAGATCAATGTTAATACAGACTTAGGTTTTAATTGTTTTTATAGGTAGTAAAATCTTTTCTTACAAAATATTGTAACAGAGGGGCCGGGGAGATGGCTCAGTGGAATAAGCGCTTCCCTGGCAAGCACTAAGGGCCTGAGTTCAATCCCCGGTTCCACCAAAAAAAAAATATATATATATATATTGTAACAGGACAATCCACTGAAAAATACTCCCATTTTAAACTGACAACGTTCAAGTCACAGAAAGAAACTAAGCTTAAACTATGAAGCTTTCCAAGAAACTATCTGGACAACAGTACTGCAGACGACAGTCACACCAGATAAATCCAAGTGAATAGCGTATTGGAAAGCCTTTACAACTTTCCCTGATACCTTCACAAGGTCCTAGTCACAAACCCACCCCCAAATGCCCAACATGTTTCAGTGGGGTCATAATGTGCAATAAAAGGATAAACCAAATGGCATTTTGCAAGAAATAAAATTTAAACAATGGATATTGAATAGATTATTGGGACTTTTTAATGTGTAAGCAGCAAAACTAGCCAAAAAGGAAAAACTTTTCCCTCTATGAAACTTAACTTTGCCCTACTCCACATTTATTAATAAGGTAGGGAACAAACTCCCCCAAGAATCAAAGAAATCCTAACTAACTCTCAAACGAATCCTAACTAACTCTCACTGGGGAAAAAAGGTAACAGGAAAATAAAAAGTTCAAGATAACTGTATAGACCTAGAGAACAGTTTGTTCCCTACTCCACATTTGTTAATAATGTAGGGAACAAACTCCCCCAAGAATCCCTTTTAGGAAGAAAGCTCAATATTCTTTAGGATGTAAATATATTGAATCTTCTAACTGGCTACTGCCTGAAGTACAGGAGTACTGTACTATGATACTATGGCTATCACTTTTAGGGATTTTTTTTTTTTTCAGAAACCAATATGAAACTCAGTGCATCACTATTTTCTAAAAACCATGTATGCTCTTTGAAAGGAAGGAAAAAAAAAAGCAAAACACATCCTACTTTGTAGGATGACCATCTTAGATTTAGCTGAGCTGTATATAAATATGCAAATGATTAAAACATCCATAACAACCCTGGAAACTAGAAGACAATAAAGCAATGCCTTTAATATTCCAAGTGGGGAGAAAAGTTTCCTGAAGTGGGACATAAAATTCTATATCCCAGGGGGAAAAATCTATTTTGATGCACAGTTTGACATGAAAGCTCTCAAACGAATCCTAACTAACTCACTGGGGAAAAAGGGTAATAGGAAAATAAAAAGTTCAAGACAACTGTATAGACCTAGAGAACAGGTAAGGCCTTTTTTGTTTGCAGCAGTAAGGACTGAATTTGAGTTTTTGGCACTGAACGAGCCCGCCTATTTATTTGGCAGAGTTGCCCTAAAAAAAATGCACTGTCTAGCTGGGCTCAAATTTGCTCTCCTGCTGCCTCACCTCCCCAGTAGGGCATTCCAGGCGTGCACCACCACCAGCATGGCCACAAGAGATGTATTTAAGTAAATGGAGTGGCAGAGTACTTCATGGGCCTAGACACATAGAGGAAGAAAACTGGGGGAAAGGATAGTCAGGAAAAGGCAGTAGCTACTACATTCTATAGCCTATTTGTCAAGTTAACATGGTCCTAGGTATCAAATAGTCTGCTGATTTTTACCTGAGTGACAAAACTTCATGGGGTGGGGGGTTAAGGGAGAAAACAGTTCATGAAATCTTAATCTTCCCTTATAAGAAAACCAACAGGGGCCGAGGAGATGGCTCAGTGGAATAAGCGCTTCCCTGGCAAGCGCAAGGGCCTGAGTTCAATCCCCGGTTCTGCCAAAAAAAAAAAAAAAAAAAAACAGTTTCACATGACAAAGTACAAACATTGAAATACGGAAATAAATACCAAATGAATAGTTAAAAGAGATTCAAGTGATTGCTTTTGGAGCAGGATTCAAGAGTAAGAAAAGTGAGACTGGGGTCTTCTGTTTTTCATTATAAGGTGGTTTCACCTTTAATCATTAACATGCAATTAAAAATATGTTAGCTCTGCATGGTAGCTCATGCCTGTAATTCCAGTTACTCGAGAATCTGTTTACAAGTTTGAAGCCATGCTGGGCAACTTAAGACTCATCTCAAAAAAATTTAAATTAAGAAAAAAAAAAAAAGATAAAAGACCTCAAGCATCCAGGCAGAAAAGTAGGATTTTAAAAAAAGGAAAATAAAAACAATAGGGTGAGCCTAATAGCTCGGCAGACTAAAGCACCAGCTTAGGCAGAGTACAGCCAGGGCTCAATCCCCAGCCTGCTGTGCCGGCCCACCCCAGGGCGGGGTGAAATGGTGATTGACACTGGGCGTAGTGGCCGCTCCTGTAATCCCAGCGCTTGGGAGGCTGGAAACAGGAGACTCACTGAGTCCAATATACGTAGTGAGACCCTGTACCAAATACAGAAGGGGAAAAAAATATATATAATATAATAAGTATATATATATAAATGATCTGAGGATCTCCTCTGGAAGGTTGTAATTTCCAAAGAAAACTAAAATGGGCACAATTTAGCTCCCACATATGCTATTCTATAGAATGAGTTTGCTATTTGCTTTTACTTCATCCAGACATGAAACTATTCTTCCCATAGAAATCTTTGCAGGACAAATGACTGCTCTGACCAACAGAACACAGTGTAAGTGATGCTTCTGCCTTCTTCAGATAGCCTTAAGAAGCAAGGCAAGCAGCTGCTGTGGTAAGAAGTCCAGGCTAGTTGGCTGAAGAGACACCAGAGGGAGGAGATAAATGAGGGCTTGGTCATCTTAATGAAAAAGCCTTCTCAGACATACAGATAATACTTGTACAAAAGTAGACACAATCAGAATAAGGGGAAACCAGGCATGGTGATTCAGGCCTGTAACCCCAGCACTCTGGAGGCCGAGGCAGGAAGATCGCCATAGGCTCAAGGCTAGTCTAGCCCACAGAGTAACTTCAAGTCTAGCTTGGTCTACACAGGAAGACCCTGTCTCAAAAAAATAAAGGAGAGGGGCCAGGGAGATGGCTCAGTGGAATAAACGCTTCCCTGGCAGGCGCAAGGGCCTGAGTTCAATCCCTGGTTCCGCCAAAAAAAAAAAAGACTGTCTTATAAAAAAATCAAGGAGGCATGGTAGATGATAATGTAGAAACATTCATAAGGTCTCAAAGAAAAAGCATTTCCAAGATTTCAGAACCCAACCAAGACATAATTTATTCATGTAAAACAAAATACTCTTAGCAAGACCTATAGAGTTAAAAACAATTCTCACTAGCATATTAGATAACAGATACTACATTTATAGGTGACATAGAATTAAGCAGTACCAAAAATATCATTACCCATTCTCCTGTGTAAATTATTCTCTAAAGTTTTAATTCACTAATACCTTAATGCTTTTAATCTCTAAACATGACCGACTATAAAACATTCATTAAATATTACAATCTCTGAAAGAAATTCTATTTACTTCATCACATTTAATTTGTGAGAACTTCTGGTGAGTCAGCTGTAAGTAGGAGAAAACGGGTGGTAACACCACCTCCAGCGGGGTTCCCATCTTTGTGGGCCCAATTAAAAAATACATTTCATGTAATTCAAAACTTAAGAAATGCTACAACTGCACCATCTATATACATACTTTAGACAAGATTTTTAAAATGCCTTTGTCACAAAAATAATGGAAGCATCACTAATAATCCCTGCAAATTAAAAAAATCCTCATCAGATATGATTTAATTCTTTATATCCATCTGTGCTGTTTTCTTTCAATTCTGGTATCAACCTATTTCCCCAAACTAAAAAACAAAACAAAAGAACAAAATTTAACCAGTAAGAAAAGTTAGAATTTGAACTGCTTTTTTTTACACATTTCAAAGTGAAAATGTATTTGGTGGAAAACATTCAGCAAAATAGTTGCTTAAAACACAATGTCAATATTATTAATATTAAAATCAAAATTTTACCTTGCCAGACCCAACTGTATCTTCCCCTAACTACTGGCTCACTTAAAAAAAAAAAAAAAAAAAAAAAGTCAATGAGATCAATATGCAAATAAATTTTAAAATATCCAGTAACTTAAGTAGCAAATGTAATCTGCATATTTGTACTGTATGTATAAACTAAGGTCGGTGTATGTGTGTTGAGATCGACAAGTCCTTGTACAATTTCTGGAAGAGTATGTAAGAGTTAATAATGCCTACCTTTGAGGTGTGTATGTCAAATGGTGAGAGCTGCCTAGAATTTTACATACCACCAAGACAGTGTATCTTTTCTCAAAGAGATTTTTAAATTTTACTTTGTAGTTTAAATCACACACTGTAAAAATCTACCAAAAAAGAAATTCTTCCATACTCAGTTAATCTCTTCGAACTTACCTATTTGGTTGGTCTCCTGATAAGGATACTGAATATTCTTTAACTTCTCCAACTTTTCCAGATTTTCTTATTCCAAAATTAACTTTATCCTTAATGTTTCAGACAATATGCCTTTACACCTGTATTTTAAGAAAAGTAGTGGCAGATACTAAGTTATTGCAGCTACAATAGAGGTATTAATTACATCTTGAAAAATCCCAACAATTTTGGGACGCAGAAGATCTCTCTTCACTGCATGAAGTATCCTATGAGCTTTCAATATTAACCAAATCATCACGGTCGATTCAGGCCGCTTACATTTCACAGGAAGGCAAGAAGCATCCCTGGGAGTTAAAGATGACCCCTGAAACCCCTTCGAGTCGAGTCATTCTCATCAGCTCGGGTGTCCATCTTATTTCTGCCGCTGAAGTGCTAGGGGACTCTGGTCAGTTTCATCGAACGCCCCAAGAGGGAACTTTCCCATCTGTAAAATGGGCTCTGTGGGCCCGCTTCCTTCCCTCGCGGAGGCTTCCTCGCCCGACGCGCGCGAACCCCACTCTCGCGCCCCGTCTTCATCCCGACGCCCCTGCGGCTCCCTAAAGAACGAGGAGAAGCCTGTGCTGGGGCCGAAGAAAAGGAGGATATTGAACGGCAGTTTCGGAGCCGCCTTCTCAGTTACGGCAAGTTCTCAGACTCACCGCAAAGTTGGCGCCGGTCGGCAGCAGCTCCGAAGCAAAGCGGACGGCGGGACTGCGGCCAAGGGGCGAGACTAGGGGCGGGGCCTCTGGCCACGGGGCGGGAGTGGGGGCGGGGCCTCGGGTCACGGGGCTGGACTGGGGGCGGGGACTCGGGTCACGGGGCGGGGCCTCGGGGTGCGGGCGCGGGCGCGGGGCCGCCGGAGGAAAAGGCGCGGCGGCTGTTTGAAAGTAAACGGCCCGCGGTCCCGACGGCGCGCGATTGTCTCCCGCCGCGGGGCCGCCCAGGTGTTCTGCGCCTGCGCCCCGCCGCCGGGGGTCCCGCCTGAGGAAGGGTGGAGCGTCTGCCCTGCGAGAGGCGGGCCCGGCCGTCCCGACGCCGCCGCAGCCGCGCTCGGCGGTGCTGTGGGGCTGTGCGCACGCGGCGCCGCGCCTGGGGCTCTGGAGCCGGACCGCCGGCAGCGCGCGGAGCGGAGCGGAGCGGCCGTGGCCGTGGGAAGCCCGCGCCTCCCTTGTCCGCGGACTCGAGCGGGCGTCGGGGATCGACCCCGGGGCCTCCGCTCGCGGGCGGGCGCTGCGCGGCTGAGCCACCCCCAGGCCCACCAGGTCCAAGCTTCTGGCCCGGCTGCTGAGCCCCTACAATTAGAAAACGGTGGCCCGTTTTTTCCCCCTTTTGATGTGGGGAAACCACTCGTCTGTTGGGATCTCAGCGCAGGCGCACAGCTTCCCTCTGCTGGACGCTTGCGAGTCACTTTCTTTACTGCCAGGACTGAAGGGTGCGGGCTTGGAAGGTGGAGCACTGCCCGTACGTGCGTGGCCCAGGCTTTTATTCAGATGACAAAAAAATATCACACAGGTATAAAGCAGAAATCCAACAATGTGGGAGACACGAGCCACTCTCGAATGTCTTCAGCTGAGCCGCGGTGGCACTCCTGGAAGGTTGCCTGTGAGGCAGCGATTCCGGGCGCGGCCGGGTCCCATTGGTGCAGGCTAGCATAATCTGTTTCAGCTTTGCTGCACGTATTTTAAACATCGGAGGACTCCCACTAGCTTTGTAATTTACCTTCAGTTTGTTGTGAATCTTTATAGAGCATATACTTTTATAAAAATTAGTCTCATAGTAATCGTCTGTGGGATTAAATTAATACCGTTGAGTATTAATGTTTCGAGATACAATTTTCTCCGCCTGTTTTCTCCTCTGCCTCCTTCCTGCTAGAGTCATGCATGGTACAAGAAAGAAAAAGCTCTGAAAGATAAAAGCTTTACTTGCTTTCGTTTTCCAGAAAGCCTGAACCCATTGAGAAAAATAACATTTAAGGGAAGAGCTGAATGTTTGGGAGAAGTAGAAAAAAATATTCTAGACTCCAAACAGAATCCTGGGCTCCTGGTGTTGGGGGCAGCCGGTTATGACATGAAAAAGAAAGGGGCTACACCTGCACTCCAGGGACCCAGGCTTGGAGGCCGCGAGATTCCCAGCCCTGAAGAAGGCCAAGAGATGACAGAAAACCACAGAAGCCTGCGAAACAGCAGCCCAGTCTCAGCAGGCAGCCAACTTTGGGAAACATGATTCATATACTCCGAACCAGGTTACATTGGCTGAAGGGTGGTTGGGAGAATTAACAAGAATGCAGGAGTAAATACTTAAAATCCACAGGCCTGATGTCACACGAAGATGCTTAGGACCCTTAAAAAGCAGGGAATGGGAAAAATCTAGCTGCTTTGGGTCTCTACCTGTATACATCCAATAATGATCTTTTAACAGAATATTGGAAAGAGATGATAAAATTTGCAGTTACCATCAGGTATAGGAAGAGAAACTAAATACCATACATTTTAGTGCTTAGGTCAGACTCCCTGCTTCTTTTTTTTAAAAGTATTTTTCTTTTTTAATTTGTCTTCTTTGGCATTTAATAATTGCAGTTACTGCTTTTTTTGGGGGGGGGGTTACCAGGGTTTGAATTCAGGACCTTGTGGTGCCAGGCAAGCACTTATTCCATTGAGCTATCTCCTTGGCCCCAACATTTTTATTTTTTTTATTTATTTATTTAGTACAGGGTCTCACTATGCAGCTTTTCTGCCTCCCCAGTGCTGGGATTACAGACCTGCGGCAGGCGACCGCGAGCTATCTCCCCAGCCCCTCCCTGCTTCTGTCTCAAGCACTGCAGTAAGCAGTCTCAGTGACAGAAAAGCCATGTGCAGGAGCCAAGACACTTTTTGGTTTTGGTTTTGATTTGGTTTAGTTTTGCTTTTTGTGATGTAAGGGACTGAATCCAGGGCATTCCCACAGAGTTAAATCCTCAGCCCTTTCTATATTTTATTTCAAGACACAGTCTCGCTAAGTCACTAAGCTGCCCAGGGTGGGCACAAATTTGTGATCTTCCTGCCTCAGCCTCCCAGAGTACCCAGATTCCAAGCATGCACCACCATACCACACCCAGCTTAATTTGGGGTTTTAATAGCTACAAACTTTAAATCTCCCATCACACTGACCTCCATAGAATTAAAGACAACTTGTGATTTTGCAGTTAGAAGGCTACTGTGGTTGATTTCTGGGACTTCAAAGAAAATATAGCTGCAACTGGCTCCATGATTACAGAGGCAGTGAACCAAGGTCACGGAGCCAGGAGAACCTAGCAATTCATGAAAGGTCATTTCACCTGGGGAGGAAGACACAGCTTCATGAGGCAGTGGTGCTCATAAATTCAGAGGTTTGGAGTTGGGAGGGATCCTGAAAGCAATCTTGAAAAGCTTTATTTTCAGGGAAGAAAAAACCTGTTAATGTTGGTTTTCCTTATACAGATTTTGAGCCCAAACTTGCATATTAATGTTTCAATTATATAAACTACATGTTTTTAAAATCCTAGGAAATACCTGTGTGAAGAATCTTTCAGTCTTGGGGCTGGTGAGATGGCTTAGTGGTCTGAAGCACCTACTTAGAACAAGCTTAGCAAAGCACGGGGACCACGGTTCAATCCCCCAGCACCACACGCCAGCCAGCCCCGCCCCCTGGTGGGCTGAGCTGGCCACACAAACATACGCACATAAATAAATAAATAAAATTTAAAAAAAAAAAGAATCTTTCAGTCTTGAAGCTATATCCTTGAATGCAAGTTGAAAGATGACACGTTTCCTTCAAGAGTCAGTTTACCTCCTACCCAGTTTGCCTTCTTACTGTCTACCATTAAGAATCATTGAATTTCACTCCTTTGTGTGTGTGTGTGTGGGGGGGGGGTTACTGGGGATTAAATTTAGGACCCCGCGCCTGCCAGGCAAGTACTTATTTCTACTGAGCTACCTCCCCGGCCCAAGAATCATTGAATTTCAAATGCCACTAATTTTTCTTTGCATTTGCTTTAATGATGTTGGCACTTACCCAGTTTTCTAGGGCTTTCTGTTTGTAATTGTTACGCAAGCAGCATTTAAAGTATTCAAATATTTTGAACTTCAAAACTTTTATAAATCATAGCATTTTTATTTTGATACAGTATTATGTGACTTTCTAATCTACTTCCTCAAACAAATACAGAATTTCTTAATTGCATAGTAAATATACAATTTAGAGACTCAAAGAATAAGCTGGTCTTCATGGCACACTCCCTGCACTCTGGGAGGCTGAGGCAAAAGGATCACAAATTCAAGTTCTGCCTGCACCATTTAGTGACATAGCAAGACCCAGTCTCAAAAAGTAAAATGGTGGGCAGTACGCAGGCCTTAGGTTCAGTAGCAAGTACTGCCCCCCAAAAAAGCAGAGAACACAGATCCTGTACTTAAGTTGCTAGCATAGTACTCAACTGAGCTAGCGTAGATATAGTTAAATAATAATATTAGATAAGCTGTAGATTGGAATAGTTGTGGAGCAAACTGGGACAAGTAGTTCAGACCATGTGTAACAGTCCCTCCAGTTTCAGGTGGCCGGCAAGCAGGTCGTTGGAGCCGCACACGGTGATCACCTGTCCTGAGGGCTGTGGAGGTATTTCTGCAGCAGACACAGATCCGGGAGGCTGCCCTTGAGCCCCCTAGTCACATGCCAGATGGTCTTTCAAGTGACAGCCTGTGCCCCCCCTCCACTCAGGATGGTTGGGGCTGCAGTCAGCACGCTGTCGTGTTGGCAGTGCCTTCTTCCTGCTAGCTGCCATCATAGCTGAAAATTAAGAAACATTTATCTTTTGAAGTTTTGAAGAGTAGGAGTAGTAAAACACCTCTGTTGTGTAAGCACTCCGCTGCAACAATGCCCCACTTTCTCAAAGGAAGGTACTACGATAGTGCTTTTCTAGTTACAGAAACCCTGGTCTTCCTTGAGCTCAGGAGATGTGTACGTGGCATCCTGTGTGTTCAGAATGGCAAGTGGCAAACACGTGTGTGTTAAGGACTCGAAATAGTTCACATGGATGGTCACGTAGCCACTCGGCTCTCAGGGCCCTCAGTGTGCACATCTGCAGTTTCAATCAACTATGGATCAAAATTATTTGGGAAAAAAGTCACATCTCTACTAAACATGTACAGATTTTTTTCTTAATATTCCCTAGTGGAGTTTTACAACTGTTTCCTTAACATTTACATCATATTAGGAATTTTGAGGAATCTAGAGGTGATTTAAAGTACATAAGAGTCTGTGTGTGGATTTTATGCAAATGCTACCCCATTTTTCATAAGAGACTTAAGCATCTGCAGATCTTGGTATCTACCTAGGAGACAGGGGACCCATGAAGAGGTTTCATTAGAAGATAGAAGACTGCCTTAGAAGACAGAGTAGCTGCCTACCTTACAGTTAGGGCCTCGATAGTCATAGCTGCAAATACCCCAGCTTGACTGTAGTTCTCTTCAGCATGCCTTTAATGTTCATGATAACCACAACTTGCCATTTAGAAAAAAAAGTTTAAGCTGATTTAATATGATTTAATTTGTACCTCACCTTATTTTCCAGAAGGTTTTTTTTTTTTTTTTGTTTTTTTTTTTTTTTTTTTGGCTAGCTCAGGCTGCTCTGAGGGCGTGTCTGGTGTGGCTTGTAGAGCTGGGGATCAAATGGCAGTCCCCTGTGCCTGATCGAGTTTGCCCAA